AGAGACACAGATCATTCTGGTCCTTTCAGTAAGTGACACTGAGGCTCAAAGAAGAAAACCAGCCTTGAGTTAGATTTTTTTCTTGTGACAATGTTACGTCAATGCCAAATTGAAGGCCATAGTTATGAAACTAACCAGAAAACTACAGCTTTGTATGGAATAGCAATACATCTTTCAGATGGGTATCTTGTTTTGGAAACAGGGTTCACATCCACTTTAAGCAAAATTACATATGTCATGCATGATTTTAAATAGCACAGAAATTCCAAGACTTAAAATGGAAATACAATTTGTAATATTTTGGCACTTTAAAGAAACAAAAGAGGGTTTTGTCACCACTTTTCACAGAATCAATCTAAGATAATGCACTTATACTTTGGATCCATCATTGTTTTGTAATTACAGGTTTTCTGTCAGTTAATTTTTCACAGAAATGTAATTAGAAATTGCAGATCAAATTTATTGGCCAAACACAATTTATTGTATTAGGAATTCATCTTTTTGCATACCCCAACCTGCTCTCCATGAGACACAGAGACAAGGAGAGAAGCTTGGGGGTCAGAGCACAGGGTCAGCCATTTACAGTATATGGTGCTCCTGGAGCAGTTGGGGTTAAGGGCCTTGCTCAGGGGCCCAACAGTGTAGGATTCCTTTGTCCGCCACTGGATACAAACCGGCAGCCTTCAAGCCACAGATGCAGAGCTTTAGCCACAGAGCCACCACAGCACCCCATGTATGGCAATAGATTAGTTGTAATAGGCATTCTCTTAAGATTTCGAGAATCACATTGTTTTGACTCATTATTAGAAAACACTGTATATCCAAATAATCTTGGTGTTACTTTTTTTCTGTCTGCTCTCTTCTTTTAATTATGTTTTAATTTTCTTAGTTTGACAAATTGTTGTTGAACTGTAAAGCATTTTATAATTGGTGTTAAAACTTCATTCATCTTAAATGTTCTGGCTAAAAATAATATTTTTTCAAATATTTATTTCTTTATAAGTTACCTTTTATTAATATAGCTCATGGTTATATCAACAAAGCATGGTTACCTTTTTTAGCTTTTACTTTCTAAATATTTCAAGCAATGCAGTTTCTTGCCTTATGACAAATTATATGGAGCCAAGTTTGGTATTCTAAAAAGCGATTATTTATATACATTATCTATCATCTCTACCAATTATGAATAACAATTAATTATAACATTTTGCAGACAAGCTCATTTTAATTCTCATGGGATTATTCAGTTAAAATTAAACAGCAACTATCTGTTTGCTGCTATAGGCAGAGACATAATAGTATAGTGAGAGTGAGCTTGGTTCCTCTTATGGTCTTGATAACAATTGCCACCTATCATTTTCAAGAAAGGGTAATGCAAAATTGCCCATGGTAATGTGATATACAGAGACATTATATAAATAATCCTTGATCATGGTCTCCAGTCTCATTAATACCACAATATAGTTGTACTGAAAAGTACAATTCTCCCTTGATAAAGTCTGAAAAGCTTCAATGCTACTAGTAATTCAATTGACTCTTCTTTTCATTAAGGCAGTAATTACATTTATCAAGGCAATCAGTAAAAACAAACTACCTAGTTTTCCTTCAAAAAGTATATCTTCCATGAAGCAATAACACAAAAGCACAAGGACCATACATGATGTAGTAGCAGTCAGAGAACTGAAGAACCTTAAGAACTAGAGCAGACTTATTCAAGTTGTAATATGTCCTTTAAGCTATGAAGTAGTTTTGCTTCTTCTCAATGCTAATTCACCAGTTCATAATTGAGACCTGTGTGAGTGTAACAGCATTTATCTTGTTGTAAATCAGAATTTAATGAAGTATAATCAGAGGTCAAAAGAAAATGTCTTTCTGGAATATGAAAAGATGAAGAGAAAATGGTGACATTTTCTGCTGTCCTGCAGATGTAAATCGCTTCAGTTTATTGGACAGGAGACTGTGGATGCTCAGCCATGGAAAATGTGGTTACTAAGACCTGTGATTAAAACAGTAGAATTATTATAGTGTGTTCTTGCAAATTCAATTATGTAAAATAAATATCTTCCAATGCAGCAAATGCCATAAAACCATAAACAACACTGCTCTGCACACCGAGACTATATTTAATCTCCTCCCACTGGCTCCACACTGTTCTCCAAGTTTCACATGATACCGTTCAACACATGGTTGGCATGCAACCTTGGAAAGACACAGTACATTTAGATAAACCAAATGCTTTGCTATTCCTGGTTGGAAAAATCAACGTTAGGTATGTATTCACAAACCAATTAAATTGTTCATTGTAATCTGCTAAGAAAGTTTTCAAATGTTTTATTAGCACTCTTGTCTTAAACTGGATTTATTGTACTGGTAGTCAGAGATTGTTTTATCCCAAAAAAGAAGATGAGGTGCTATACAGTAGCTAATCTAATAAATAATGGGCAAGACCAAGGGCATTTGTGTCAATCAAATGTGTAAAAAATGGTGAACTACAGTATATTATTACTTCTCAGCCATTGTCAATCGAGTTTTCAGACTCTACTGTATGTCTGCTTCGTGTCATAAGTGATGTACAGTATTGTTGATTTGATAATAAGTGCAAGGCATCTCCAACTAAAAGGTATACAACCCACTTTCTAACGGATGATAGCACTTCTCCTTTTTGTTTCTCATCTTCTAAGTGTTTAATACATGTTTGAACTCCTCCTTTATATTGAAATCAGTCTGGTGTCTCATTAGTACTAGGATGGAAGGCCTTCATGAGAAAACAAGTTGCTCTTAAAAACCAGTGCCCAACTGTGTTGATGAGAGACACTGTACCATAGGAGGTGCTGACTTTCAGATGAAATGCTAGACCGATACCTTAATTAATTACTTGTGGTAATTAAAATTTCCATGACACAGCTTTCTCCTTGCAGTCTACCTGCCCTCCTCTTGTTGAACTGTCAGCAGTACAACATTTTTTCACCTCAATTCACTTCAATTAGCAAACGTCTATCATAAAATGTCCATATGATGTTTAAAGTATTTAAAGGATACTACATTTCTGTCATGGGTGTATTGATTCTGGTTCATACTGTGTTTTTATTATTTAAATAACAGAGTGAAAGGTTGAAAGTTCCGTTCTGCATTATTTGACCTGAATAATTCAACAAAATACAACAAACTGGAAAGATGTAAAACAACTGTAACAAATAGTGTTAATTCTGTGATTGCTTTTAAGTAATTGGTAAATTCAGAGCAATGAACTGAGGTATAAATCGCCTAACTAGCACACAATTAGCAATACAGAGAAAACATTACAATAATCTAGAAAAAGCAGCATTTTTCACATGTTTATTCTAATGTACAAGACCTGGTACTCTATACCCATAAAGCAATATGAATCTGCAGACAATATTAAGGATACTTTCATATACTGTATGTAAAAGCTTTAATATTCCTAACAGAGAAAAAAAAAGCAGGAATGAGGCTTTCAAACCATTTCTGCTTAGCTATCAGAAACACTTACCAACTGGAAGGATAGATTATCCCAACCCAATGGTTCAATTGGGTTCAAAAGGACAAGAGACTTTATTGCCTGTTTGTAAACCCAGGTTTGAACCTCAAAGTGAGGCTTACAAGACAGGATCTATGTATGACCTCTGTTTGCTGTATAAATGGGCCAGTTGATACTCAAATTGTAGAAAAGCACATATACTGAAAACCCTAACTAAATACTCCAAATACAAATAAATTGTGACAAACAAATTCTGCTGAAAATGAGCCCCATTCATGAAATTCTAATTGATTCACAAACCTTTGGGTAGCTTCATAGAAACAGCTTTGGACAACTTAATATACAGTATTATAACAATTAAATTGATGCTGGGTAAAATTAGACAACTGCTTCTACCCAAGATATGTATTACGTTCAAAGGAAGCAAACTTTACAGTTTTTAACCAGAAATTCACAGGACAGACATTTTACAATAATAGTTACTTAGACAAGACAAAAACTGCTAGGAAGATCCATCCATTTTAGAACAGCTTTTCCAATATGGAGTGTCAGTGAGCTGAAGCCTAAACAAGCAGACAATGAGTGCAAGGAAGATTATATCCTAGACAGGACACTCTGGACTTCACAGTCCAGAGACAATTTAAAGACATGGGTTCACCCGAAGAGCATGTTTTTGGACTGCAGGAGTAAAGCAAACTGTGGGCAAACAAACCTATGGCCATAGGCAGACCTACACACAGACTTGCCAAATAAATTTACTTTTCAAGGTACCATATATATTGTATTTGCATTTTGGTTATTTGGAAACATTGATGTGTTGGCATGTGTGTGTTATTGCTGCAAAGGGTGTCGACATTTAAAGAATTTAATTTTTTACAATTTTTTTAAATACAGTTTTTCCATTTCTAGCATAATTTTGTGTGTATTTAATTTTAACATATGTGAATCTATAGGTAAGATAGTTGAACTCGGAAAACAGCTGTCATTTAAAACGGTGGAGATGTGGAAAGGAAGCTGTTTTAAAGTGTTGTTTACCCTTTTCAGCGTTGGTGTCACTACAGAAGTAGTGATCTCATATTATTCTCAAGCTCATTCTGCTTCACAGTTCCACATAAAATGCAGCTTCTATTTTAGTAGGTTGTCACCCTCTTGCTATTTGTTTGTATTACTGCCAAGGCGCCAGCCTATTTTAGATCTTGTATTTTACCATCCAAATGCTACTGCGAATGTACTGTCTGCTAAATGCAGTTCTGGAAGATTAGTGCTCCGCTGACTTTTTAAAGTTTTTACTACAGTACACTGTATCTACTGTGCCTGATTAATAATACTGAAAACAATAGGTCACTCCTTTTCCAGTTGTTTTACATTTGAATAGATATATTTTTAAATGAAGCACCAGACCTGCTCCAGGCAACTCTGTGAGTCATTATGCAAATAATTGAAATGTAATGTATATTCTTCTGTGTTTGATTTGCTGGTATGAAAACTCCAGAGTCCTTACCTGTGAATGTTGTCTTCCAGCTTCTTCACCTGGAGCTCATCCTCCTCTGACTGTCTCCTGCGAGCATCCTCCTCCTCCTTGCTGGCAGCAGGGGCTCCCTGGAGAAGCCATCGCTCTCTCGTTGCTTTGGACTGAGGAAAACAGATATGAGCCGGCGTTTATGACAATATACTGTACAATAGTAGACCTGTCTCATGGAATTCCCTAAAGATATCAAATAGAATCACACAGGAAGTGATCACAAATACAAATCACAGAATCATGACAAATTTCCACCATTGTACAGTATGTGACACTGTGACAATTTTCAGTATTTACAGTACAGTATATGGGTGGGCATAGTGCTACTGTATGTAGCAGTAGGCTACAGAACACAAAATTCTATATACTGTATACAGGGATAAATGAAGAAGTGGTTTTATTGGGAGATTTGAACTTTCATTACACAAACTGGAAAAAAACAATAGGAATATCAATTGAAAAACTAAAATAGCAGTCATTGTAAACTGCTTTTTTTTCCGTTTGTCAGAGGACTTAAAAGAGTTCTACAGTTGATCTGCTCCCTACTAGGGAGAATGACTTTATTGAACTTGCCCTTTCAAACCATCAAGACAGAGTGATGAACACAGAGATGAGAGAACCATTCTGAGCACGTGGTCATAATAAGGTGTTATTTAAGGTAAATTAAGAAACTTTACAAATAGATACCGAAACAAAAGTTTAAACTTTCAGAAAAAAAGACTATGAAAGAATGAGACAGAGCTTCAGAGAATGGAAGACATAGAAAGGCTGTCTATCCTATTCCACAGGCAGTGGTTGGATAACAAGAGGCTTAATCTTTGACAGCTATCAACAACATTTAATTTTGCCTAGAAGTCTGTTCTCAGAGAGCTTTGAAGAGGAGCTGAGCCTTTCTTTCTTTTCAGAGATGTAAGACACCTGTACCACAGAAACAAGACTGAACTGCCTCTAAGAAAATTAACTTCATGCGGAACCTGAGAGAAGTTTACAAGCTGTTATGAATAACTGTTAGGAAAGGTGAAAAAAAATCAAAATATGAGCATTCTGGGATGGTACAGTATTCTGACTTTTAATAATTGTTCTTCCTCTTAAAGTAGTTGTAAGGTAGCCAGACGTGGTTGAAGCTTCTTCTTTGGCTGAATGGATGAGAATCTTGCATCAATTAGCTACTAACTACCAAACAGGCCTCTTGTTTGATTAAATTTCTACTTTACAGAAGGAAACTGCATTGCAACAACAAAAATTGGAAAACATGTAGGAATGACATCTGTGATCTTATTAAACTGAAGCAAAGAAAAATGTATACACTTACTAAACAACTCTAAACTGCCTCCTGTTCCTAATAATACTGTACTTTTATATCACATATAAATTATACTGTATCTACAGTTACATCCTGTCATGTTATGAACTTATTTCAGACAACAACAGGAAAAAGTCATATGCTACATGAATAAACATATAGACAGCTAACATGTTAGCATTTAGATGAGTTTTAAAACTCAATAATTTTAATGAATGTGGGACATTATTCACCTACTAATAGTAATTCCTAGCATTTACAGTATAGAGCAGACTTAGAATTACCTCCAACAATACAGTGTCTCTTGTCCTCATATTTGTGTAATTGGACTGGAAATTCTGGTTCAGAGGGAAGAGCACCACCTATAGTACTGGTTTACCAGCAGCAAACTGGTCTGCCTTGTCCATCTCCCATTTCAGTACACACGAAACAGAATTGTAAACTTAAAGAATGTTTGGTATGAAAAAGTTTATCTAGCACAGAAGATGTCAGCTTTTTATTTCTTCATGTTTTATTTTTAAGTTTAAAATATCACCTAAAATATTAAATCTCTATAAAAGCTTGCAATATTCAGCAATGACTATGGCTGTTGAAGAGAATCTTTTACCTTGTCTTTTATCTTTTGCTAATTATGAAAGACACATTGTTTTGAAGATTTCATTCTGCCTTTGAACTTTTTTTAACTTTATAAAGGTTTTTTAATTTCAGCGACTTTTATATATAATGGGATATTACTAAACTATTTATTGTTATTTATCAATTGAGCATCAGGTGTGCTAAAAGAATAAGACTGACATTAACTTTGTTTAATAACTTTGTAGTAGAAAATACGAAGAGTTTGGGATAGAAGACTTGCTAGAGACTGCAGTCAATGGCAATGGGATTAAGTGTCTTTCAAGGTGAATGTTGAAGTTAGAATGAATTTTATTAGTTTCTTTTTCTACTATTTTTTTACTTTTCTACTGTGTTTTGCAGTACTTGATGAGGAAGCTGCAGACATTAGTGTATTTTGTAAAATATTGTTGACATGAAAAAGGTGTGTAAGAACAAATTAGGTAGTTGAGTTGAATCCCTTAACTCATTTTAGACTCTTCAATTTAGTATCTTTACTTAAATGTTGTGCTAAAATGTTGTCCCGTTATCTTTGGCAACAAATCCCAGAACATCATATAAATATAAATAAAAATAATATGCAGACTTTGAGCAAGTAGATGTTTTACCCTGGTATTGTTTTATTACTCCACCCACCTAAGGAAGAAGTCTGGAAAAAGGCCTGAACGCTAAACTCATAAAGAAGGTTACAGGATCACATAATCATAGCAACTGCACAATCTTTCCGATGAGAACGAGTTTAAATCTGTTGACGCCCACTGTTGAACAAACATTCCATATCCTGGCCATGTTCTGTTTCAAGCTTCCACCAGAATCTACCAGAAGTTATATAGCTACTTTACATGTATTAGTGCTTCAAAATCCTGAAATCTACTTGTCAAAGAAATAATAATAATACACAGTTTTCATCACATCTGCCTTTTAACTTTTTAAACGCTCTTCCTAATTAACTGAATGACAGACAAGGTCAGATGAAAACAGTTATGAGTTTGTCGATTAGCAGAACAAATCAATGCCTCTCTACTAATCACTCATAACACCTCTCTGATTTATTTTTTCACAAAGGCTAATAAATAATACCAGGTCTTGGAATTAGACTGGTTAAATGTTGGAACAAAAGATGAATGATTTAAAGAAATGGCTAATATCTGTACATGCATTTCAATAAGATGTTTGTTTCTTTTTTTAGAGCTGTTTTCTGATGATTCTTGGCCTTAGTTGGTGTTAGTTGTGTAAATTAATATTATTAGGGAATTTTGTATATAAGGACATTTACTAATTGTGTTGGTTATTGTCTATAATGACTATTAAGTCTCTTTCTTTCCCTTAACAGAATTTTAGATTTGGGGGTTGTTGAAAACAGAGGCACAGAAGGGTTAAAAGTTTTTTTAATTTTCTGTGTTGTTTTCTTTATCAAACAACCCATAATTTCTCATGCTTGGTCTCTCTTCAGTGGTCCCACAGGACAGTATTTTATCACACTGCTATGGTCACTGGGACTTATCTAAAAAAAAACACGTTTTACTTGGAGGGCAGAGAAACAAAAATGTCTTTGAAGAAGCAAATTAACCAAAGAAAACTACTTTTTGTTATGTAATTGGCATAAGATTTTAGATCTTATATTTTACAATAAAAGAGGGAAAAGAGCCTGACCACAGGATAGTTGTATGCAAATGAGCATAAACAAAAAGGTCTAGTAATGTTTATGCTGTTTTAAAGCATTTCTATTAAAATTAGTAATGCTATTTTTAATTATTAAATTAAGATTTTTTGTGTTTTTTAGTTTACTTATAAATTACCATGTATTATAAATTTTTTCCCAGACATTTTTCTGCAGAGACCTATTTTATGTGGAGACTTTTTGTGGGGATCTTTATTTTTCATTTTTTATGTTTAAATGCAGAAAAAACAGTCCAAAAACAGTTAAAACTAGCTTTTGTATCTGTTGAGGCATTAGATCAGAAAACTTTAAAATTCTGTTTTAAAATTGTAATGTGGATGTTTTGTTTCTGATTTTAGAGTTGTACTTACCTAAAATGTTGTAAAAGGTTAACTTTCCTCAGAGACTATAATTAATTGTGTTCCACTGATATATAATATCCCTTGACATGAACTGAACACTAAGCACAGGACTAATAAATTTGTTATTATATCACAAGATCTCTAAACCTACAGTATATTGTATTATATTACTTTTCTTTTGCCCTTATTATTGCAGATGATATAAGCAGAGGTTCTGAGATTTCCTTCAAAGCAAACTGTATACAAACTATGCAGAGACCATGGATACATTCCAAAACTTCTTTTGAGTAATTTTTACTTTTTGTAGTTGCATAGAAAAGACCATTGCAATGTTGATTAGATCTATGATAACTTCAAAAATGAAAAGTCAAAAGGTTATACTGTATATACAAGCATGAAGCACATTTTATCACATGAACACTAGTTTTCTGGTACAGTAGCTGACAGCAAATCAGTGTTAAAATCAGTACTGTTTTTAAAAAAGGTAAAACACTTTAGTTATCTTTTTAAAGACACCCATACAGAAGGAAAAGTAAAATAAAACATTTGATATGTACTTCATTCTGGCATTTAAATTTCCCGAACAGCTACGGCTGGGGCACTCTTACTGTACCTTGAGGTGCTGTAGTTGCAATATAAGGTCCTCCAGCTGCCTTCTTTTGCCATCTATTTCAGCTTGTCTTTTTCTTTTTTCCTTTAATAAAAAAATGGAAAATTACATAAAAATGAGGGTTACATGTAATGTTTTATACAGTAAATGTCATGCTGATTTGGTATACTGGTGCCCAGAGACAATAAAAATAAAATATACAATACATGTGCATAATATTGCTTGCTTTAAATCCCCTCACTTTTCTTTGCTATGCCATACATACACCGTAGAGCCATAATATAGTACTGGGTGTGGTTAGACACTGAAGATCATAAAAGAACAGCATATTGTACCAGATGTACTGTATACAGTACTATTATATTTAAAGTATAGACCAAGGAAGTAGAGTGATAAAGAAAATAAAACCCCAAATGCCTTTAAAAGAAGTATAGCAAGTTATATTAATAAGAAATTTGAAGAAAGGGTTTTCAAAAAGTTCCAAAACGTACAGATTTAAAAGTGGGATATAAGGGACAGATGCTTTTCCTTAGCTAGCGGTTGTGCTCACTTCAGACTTCAACTGCTGTGAAGGGCAGTAGATTTGAAATAGTACAAATTGGGAAATAATAGGCTTTTTGTGCTACGGCTGAAAGTAAATTGGCTGATTTGGGAAAGTAGAGATTTTGTTAACCACATAGCACAATCAGGTATAACCACACTGTTTAAAATAAATGGTCTATCAAACTATTATTAATCCACATCAAACCTGCAGAAATAGGGCATAAAGAAAAGAGCAACCATTTTAGGAACATAGAAAAAAAATAAAATGTTCGCATAATAGAATAAACAAAAATAGCTGCCAAGCACAATCTATTTAAATACTAAATAGTAGTTACAGTAAATGTAAAGGAAGAAATCACAGGCAGCATTTGGCCACTCTTTTTCTCTGAAAGCAAATGAACAAAAAAAGCTTTCTCAGCAAAATGCACGTCTAGTTGACATTATTCCAGTTTGTCTGTGGGAAACAAGACAGAATCAGATAACTGTACTTTAAAGTTTTAATACTGATTATAATCGCAAGCTCAGCTCAACACCCCAAAAAAGCTATTTACCATAAAAACCTTAAAGCGAGTGACTATATTTCCTATTATTAGACACATTTCACACAAGAGCTCACACATGAACACTTTTAATAATTAGGAACAGAAACGAAACTCATCCTGAAACTAGGTTCACACCTTCCCCCTCCTCTCAATGAGAGACTTATTTTCATGTAATCTTCTCTATTCTCATGCAGGATTTGACTCCACACCTTTCTCCACCCCTCTCCACTTTGCACTTCCTGAGTGGCCTCTCTGCCTCTCCCCTCTCCCTTCTCCTCCACTTTTTCAGCTTTTGTTCTCCTGTGCTATTTAATCTCTGCTGCCTACCCTGTCTTCCTCACACCTGAAGAAGGCTCCACAGCTGAAACGTTATGTTTCTTTTCTTTTCAGCATAGAATTAACCCGTTACCTGTTCCTTTGCAGCCTACGCATGCTGACGCAGCTACCGACTTGAACTACTTTTAATCATTAGACTTTATATTTGAAAGGTCAGATTTTTTTATGTACATTTACTGTATATGAGGATCTCAAGGCCTGAACCTGAATTAGAGAATTTATCTCTATATTCTGAAATAAAAATTTATACCATTGCACTATGCTTATTAATCATTTATTATTTATAAATAGCAGAATGCAACATATGAAGGACATACATAGAAAATCAATAAAAATGGAATACAAGACACTCTATTATGCTGAAATACAAAAGATGGGATTGTAGGTTCAGTTAAACAAGACAGAAAGTTATGTACATTTTTAAAGAAACCACATTTCATGTGACATGTCTTCAAAGCAAATCTAAAACATTACAGAATAATTAAGAACTTTGTAAAGTTACAAATATAAAGAGGAAAATTGGTTGATTATGTGTCACTGAACTATACTACAAATGTGAAACTTTTAGTAAATGTCTTTCTTGCGTGTTGCTGAATTGAAGTACTGAAGTAATGGCCTCATGCTGTAATGAAATAGCATAATACTAAATGCTTGAAAAACACATTTTGTGGATGATACAGTATCTGAAGTAGCACCTGAAAGGAAAAAAAAAGATAATGGCTTTTATTGATAACAATACCAAGTGATTGGTATTTCAATGTTACTGTATGTTTAGCACCTTTGGACAAATACACAGTTTTAAATAAAATTATATGTTCTACTTTTATGCTTATACAGTAGAAATACATTTTAGGAGTCCTTTAACTCACTTTGAAATTACTCAATTTCAAGTGCTAGGTACTTTTATTTGCATCCAAAAGTCAGCGGGTTTGAAACACAGTACTGTATATACTGTAGGTTTAACTGAGTTTGGTTAATGTTCTAAGGGGAACAACAAATATTTCTGTAAATGAAGGATTAAAATGTATATTCTGTCTTCAGACGTATAAGATTCAAAAAGGAAAAAATTAGCTTCCTAAATCACTTGCTTCTCCCTTATTCTATAACAGCTTTGGTTTTGCATTCTGAGATATTCACAAATATAATACAAAACCTTATTAAAATTACAGTAACACATGTAGTAATGTAGTATTAAAAGTAATAACGTATTACAAAGAAGAATGCTAAACTGGGAAATTGATTAAGTTAATTAATTTGATTGTGTCAATATTCTGTCTAGTGTGTTCACTTCCCTAAGAAGACACTAAATAATTACTTGAGTTACAAAAATATTACTTTATCTGTAAATCTGATATTTTCACACTTTATTAAGGTCTTTACATAGTTATTTATTCTAGTATACTGTATATATTGAAGTGTAAAACAGTATACCACTATGTGCTAGAGCCTCTAAAATGCTGTACAATATATACTCTATATGATCTATTTATTCACTGTATGATCTTCTACTGTTTATGCGTTTTATTCACATAAATTGAGTGTGTTCTATAAGTATCAACTGAGTTAAAACACATTGTTCCCACAACAGTGTTTTTGTTATTTAATTTGAGGATGTCTCCTCAGCAGAGATGTGTACCAAACACATATTCATGATAAATTGAACTTCATACCTCTATCTGCCCTATATAATGTGATTAGTGCTTTTAGTTTAAAAAGCCAGCTATATATAAAACATAAACATTACAAATGAATAACAAGCAATAAAACATATACATTTTTATCCCCAGTTCCTTTAGCTAGATTTAGATTTACAAGCAGACACTGGTATTCCCTAACAACACCTTTAATACTTGAAAGTTGTCCCTTTCTCTTCCATGAAAACAGCCTGTGTGCTTTGTGTGACATGTATTATAGCACTACATTTGGGAATTCAGGTTTATTAAAGTAATTCACTTTCTAGGACAAAAATGACTGTGCTACATCAGAGGCACTCCGTTAATCCACCTGGAACTGTATGCATGGTATAGTAATCTTTGCAGCTGGGAAATGAACAGGATGGAAAAGCTTTTCATAGCAAAGCAAACAGGCATGGACTGAATCTGACAGAAAATGGGTTATTCTCACCACCTTTAAATGTTCACAGTTAAAGGCCTCATGCAATGTAAGGCTTATATATATAAAATGTATTCATATTATTTATTAAACATATTAAGAACAATATCAACATCCTTTACAAAGACAATGCACTGACAATGCTTGTACAGTAATACAGCCTTTGAGAGTCAAGAACTAGGAACGCATTGTTAACATTTCTAACCACCATTTCTCTAGATTAATTGTATCAAAACTGTATACAGTACGTTCAATTCCAGACTTAATTTCAATGGTGAATTTCAAAGAAAATGTAAAGAAATTTGGATGCAAAATAAAACAAATATACTGACTCTTGTATTCTTATTTATCTTCTATTGTTTTTTGACATGGAACTCCCTTAAGTTTATGCCCTATTGTACATCAGACCTTATTACTGCCTGTTCTTTACCAAATGCAAACAGTTTATCATTTTATGCCCTCCGACAGACCTCATTACTGCCAGTTCTTTACCAAATGCAAAAAAAAAAAGAAAATTGAACAGAATAAGCTGCTCCTTTAAACTTATTGAACTTTACAGAGGAATGATCAAGTACAGTAATCCATTTGAAGGCTGTGCTTCTTGACATAAAATCCAACTATTAATAAACAAACATGGACCTTAGACCCAGGTACAATCAATACCTTACGCATTGCAGTGCTTAGTAACAATTTTGGACTGAGAAAAAAAAGAGACCTTTACTAAAGAAAAGTCAATCATCAAACATTCAAACTAGCAAATTCAAAATAATAAAAAACTGCCTATGTTTCTGGCCAAAGTAATATTAACTATAAAGAATCTTTGAAGCAATTTAATCGTTGTTATTTTATACAAGTAAAAGTTTGCTGCCAATGAACAATCCCTTTTTGTACAGGGATAGATTGGACTGTATTTAAAAACTACGCATTAAAAAGTAATGTGCTCAATATACATTTCCCTACAAGAAGTATAGAATGTAAATGAAAACATTGTAAAACTTTATTTAGAATTTTTAACAGAAAGTGTAATAGTCATTTTTGTGTGCCCTGACTGGAAATCTCAATGCCCAAACTGTCTTCTTATTTTCATTCAGCACAATCTCCGAATTAAATAATTAATTATGAATTAATTGTAATGAATTATGCAATCCAATCCCCCAATTAACTGGACACATTGTCATACACCCACCAGTCAAAGATTTTCTAAACATTCCCTCATGCTTTCTGTTAGATGACTTCCTGTGTTCACCAGTGGACATCTGATATGATGTACCCAGTCTAGGATTTACTGTTGGTAGGGTGAAATTTCTCATGGTTCCTAGACTCTGCATTTTGTTGTGTGTGTTGTGCCCAACTATTTTTATTTCACCTGTTGAAAAAATCACCTGTAACAATGAGAACATAGTATCGATCATTTATTAATTTATTATTTTTTTCCCGTGTGAGTCTAGCCAGTGCCTGGATGGGAGATCTCCTGGGATAAACTAAGGTTGCTGCTGGGAGAGGTATTAGAGGGGTCAGTAGGGGGTGCTCACCCTTCGGACGGTGACACAA